AGAGGTAAAGTTGCTTTACTTGTTATCATTGTGGTTCAACTTCTTCGCACAAAAAGTTAATCATGTTGAACTTGAATCAAAACTTTGAATCCTATGTTATCGAACTTTATTTGTAGCCGCACTTTAAAGGCTTGGTGTGGAGAAAGTAAAGTACGTTTCTATTCCTTTTGGATCTTAATGAATGAATATTTAGGAAAATTGCGGCCTGACATGACCTAAAGTAAGAATACAGGACCATTCTTTTTCCAAAGTAAAATCATATTTTAGGCTGAATGGGTGAAAGCCCTAAGCCATATATCATCTTTCGGTCATGATTTACCCAAGAAAAGAGGTTTTGGTTGACAAAGGTTACTGATGGAACCCACTTGTTATGGTTTTCTGCAAATTGCTTGCTCCATCTACCAAATAAAGTCAATGGCGTAACTTTGGGTTTTACACGTACTTCTTAAGCGACAATAATAAATTTAGACATCGTGTAATTAGGAATTGGGGTATCCAGTTACCACAGGGAAAATATTTTGGTCTTAGAAGGAATTGAAAGCGTAGATTAGAATTAGGGGTGCACAAAAAATCCGAATATCCTATTTTTATGAAAAAAAATATCCGAAATCGGATTTGGGAAAAACCGGTTTTTTTTTAACTGGATCGGATTTTTTTTAAACCGATTATTTTAACTGGTTTGAAAAAAAAAACCTAGACCGGTTTTTTTACCGGATAAAAAACCGGTTTGAAAAAAACCGGTTAAAAAACCGGTTTTTATCCGAAAAAAAACCGGTCTGGGTTTAAAAAACTAGTCGTTAATATAGTCGTTGGGGGGGTTTTGTGACCGTTTTTGACCGTTTTTTTCTTTAAAAAATTACCATTTTACCACCCTAAACATGTATAAATAGGTTGGGGATGTATTTGGTTGATTACAACTTTCTCAAATCTTATTATACAACACCTAAACATCTCTCAAATCTTATTTTTGTAATTTTTTTGTTCATCATGAGTAACACGGCTGAATCTTCCGTCGGGGGAAACCTTGAAGTTGTGAGAGTGATTGAACACACTCGAAACAAAGTTTCTTGCATCGGAAGGAAACACAACGTTGAAGAACCATTTGACAAAATCATGCAAGACACTTCGCTCAAGATCGGATCCTAGTCAATCGAATCTTACACTGTAAGGTGGTGTTTTTGTTTACGACAACGAAAAATTACGAGAAGCGTTTACAAAGTTCGTGATTACAAAAGCATTGCCGTTCGACCACTTTGATGATGAAGATTTCACGACAACAATTCAACAACTAATGCAACCACGTTATACTCAAATAAGTCGTACTACTCTTAGAAGAGATGCTATAAAAATGTGGCGTACGGCGAGGGAAAAAATGATTTTAGGATTCCAAGAACACCGTTATGGTGTGTCGCTTACATGTGACGTTTGGAGTTCCCCTCATAATACCGGAAATTCTTTTTTAGCCGTTACGTCACATTGGTTAGATCAAGATAATTGGCAAATGATGAAAAGAACAATCGCGTTTGAATTATTCGGTGAGCCGCATACCGGTGCTAATTTATTTACACTTTTAAAAAGGGTAATTTGTCTTTATAAATTGGAAAATAAAGTTTTTTCTATATCCTTTGATAATGCATCGAATAATACAAACGCGGTTCCAAGATTGAAAATATTACTTTCACCGATTTTAGACGGTGCGTTTTTTCATACCCGTTGCGTTGCACACATAATTAATTTATCCGTGCAAGCCGGTTTGGAGGTTATTGAGCCGATTAGATTAGAATTTAAAACAATGATAAAATCGGTTCTTTGTAACAACAACAAAAGACTAAATGATTATAAACGATTTTGTAAGTCCGTTAATAAAAAAGCTTTGGGTCCTAATTTGGATTGTCCAACTCGTTGGAACTCAACTTGGATGATGATGCATACTGCCTTAAGGCAAAGGGAAACATTGCAAACATTTCACGATCTGCTTTTCGAGATGGGTCATGTCCCAAACATTTATCCGGATTCGAGTTGGGAAACTATAGCCAAAATAACCGATTTGCTTGGGGTTTTTAAAAATGCAACAACTTTTTTATCCGGTGTTTATTATCCTACTAGCCCGTTGGTTCTTAATCAAATATTTTTGTTGGCTACCCGACTAAATGACTTTGAATTTGAAACTGAAGTTTTTCAAGAAATTGGCTTTCCAATGAAGAAAAAACTTTTAAAATATTTTAAGGAGATTCCCCCCATTTTTACTTGTGCCGCCGCTTTAAACCCAACGTTAAATGTTGGCGGGGTTGAAACACTAATTGAACAAATTGCGTTTGCTTTTAATCTAACCGATGATGAACCCAACTTTGTCCAAAACCAAATAAATTATTTTAACAAATGTTTTCGAGACATGTTTGCAATTTATTTAACTAAATACGGATCAAGTAGTGTAATACACGATCAAATGAGAATGAATGCGGAATCATCTAGTAGACGTCCAAGTAACATAAATTTGAATCTTTTTAACACTCTTGTAAATTCCCAATCCAAACGATCACGTACTACCACCCCAAGTAGCGAGTTGGGAAATTACATGTCATGCGATTTTCTATCAAAATGACATTTGAAGAGTTTGAAAGTTTGGATATTTTGGCTTGGTGGAAAGAAAAGGAAGCACAATTTCCGATTCTAGCAGCCATGGCCCGTGATTTACTAACCGTCCAAGCTTCTACGGTAGCTTCGGAATCCACTTTTTCTATTAGTGGCAGGGTTATATCGCAACGGAGATCAAGACTAAGTCTCGAGTCGGTGGAAGTATGTATTTGTTTAAAGGATTATTTGGATGGAGCGGCTCGTAAGCAACATATCACCACCCTAGAAGATGCAATTGATGCCGATTTGGAAGCAAACTTACACATTGAAGAAGTCGAACTTGGAATATCCCCTCCAAACGAAGAAGGCGAAGATGATGAAGAAGAGATGTCAATGTAGTTTATTTTTAAACTTTATTTCAATTATCGTAAACTTTGTTTCAATTATCTAACTTGAAGTTTTTAAGTATTTGAATTTATCAAACTTGGAAGTTGTTGAGTTAATCGATCGACGGAATCGGCCAAGAGGGGGGTGAATTGCCAATTAAAATTTCGGTGGAAGCTTTTGTAGAAAATTGAAAAGATTTGCACAGCGATTTAGAGTGGTTCGACTTTCTCAATCAAAGTCTACGTCCACTACCTTAGCTATCCACACTAAGGATTTTCCACAAATTCACTAATTTGTCTTTCTTTTGAGGACAAAGAGTAACCTTACAAACCCTCAAGAATTATACCCCAAATTCTTGAGAAAACTCTCTCCCAAAGAGAACAATACAAATTTGCAAACTTACAAGGAAATCCTCACAAGGTAGATTATTTGCACAATTCTAGAACAAAGAAAAGAACACTCAAAGATGAATACAATTGAGCACAATATGTGTTCTTGAAAGCAAAATGAATATTGAATGAAAATAGGCTTGAAATGCCCAAACTTGAGGTTTGATGCTTTCTCTTTGATTCTCTCTTGATTCTAGTTGCTTGATGTTTCTTATTTTTGATCAATGGCTTCTAAGCTTGCTTAAATACACCTTGAATCACTTCTGAACGTTAGGGATGATTAATGAAGATAATATAACCGTTTAAGTGTGAAAACATTTATTAAAAAATGCTTGGAGCGTGGGGGGAATCGGTACCATCTAATAGGGAATCAGTTCCCTAAGTGTAAAATTCAAATATTTCGACCGTTGAATAGGGGGGAATCGGTACCCCTATGGGGGAATCGGTTCCCTCCGAGCATTCTGAAAATCTCGGAGCCAAACCATTCAGGGGGAATCGGTACCCCCTTGGGGGGGAATCGGTTCCCTCTGAGCAATCTGAAATTTTTGGCTTTGAAATGGTTCGAAATACTTTGAAAGATTATTTTGAAATTGTTTTAAGATTAAAACTTAATTTTACACTTAAGTAAGGATTAAAAATGATTTTTGAAATATTTGGAGTAATATTTTGATATTCGAATAATTATATCGAATATACTTAGAAAATCATTTGAAAAATCTTAAAATTCATTTAACTTAATTTGTTATATCGAAATATCAAAATGTTTTCAACAGAAGTTTTTAAGTATTTGAATTTATCAAACTTGGAAGTATTTAAGTATTTCAATTATCGTAAACTTTGTTGCAATTGATGACGATGTAATTTTAATAATATTAAAATCGGTTTTTTTATAACCGGTTTTTTAAAAAAACCAATTTTTTTAAAACCGAAACCGGTTACACCGGTTAGGATATCCGGCCCTCCAAACCGGTTAGAAACCGAACCGGTTATTTTATAAACCGGCTTTTTTTTATGGGAAAAAACTGGATCGGATAAAAACCGATCCGGATCGGATTGAAAACCGACTTCTGTACAATCCACATAACTTGGCAAGTCAAACAGAATGGGTTGGCAGATTATGATTTAGGCATTGAAGTATCTGAAATTTAAACTTCATATTATTATTATTTAGTGTGCTAGAAGATCATCTAGCCTATTTAAAAATATCTTGAACTATACATGGATGAAGTTGAAATATCTATTCACTGCTGGGAAAGTAAAAGTCGGTCAACTCCGTATAAATTGCTTGGTCGTTTCTAAGAAAATTACAAATCTAATAACAATGAAAGAAACAATATGGTTTTAAGAATAAACAGTAAGATTGGTGATCTTTATTTGGTAGAGTTTATGATGATGCTCATAGGAAATTTCAGGGGATTCTTGGCCAGATGAGATCATCTGGTTTAACGGCCGGGTCATTGACCAATTCCATTTCAGTATTGCAATTTTGTAAAGCATGTCAGGAGATAAGCTTTATGCAAGAGTGGATAAGGTATGAATTTACAAAGACTATACGAGGAGGTGTCTGGACTAGGATCCTGGGCTACTTTTAGAAGGTATTCTATATTAATATCGGGGTACTGTTGTAATAGCCTTAAGTTTGCTGCAAAATCACCACTCAAAAACCTGCTTTTCGTACACAGCAGCATGGCACAGCATACGCGTAGAAGCATTTCCTGCACAAGGCAAGGGATAGTTTGTTGTAACAAAAAAGTGTTTCTTTAAATTTACAAAAGCTCACATACAGGGATAAAAAAAGACAAACCGACCTGGAAACCAAAAGGATTACTCAGAAGAGAATCCCAGATTCTTAGGTTCGATTTGAGATTGAATTCTTGAGTTAGTAGCAATGTTATCCACCGGAATGCATAGTACTGAGGCTTAACCTGTGCTCATTAATATACATGGTATAAGCATTAGGCGTTGCAGAAGGGGTACCTTAGCAGAAATCAAAATGAATCAAAGGGTTTTACAAGGATGAAGAAACAAAGAAACATGCATACGGTATGTATCGAGTAATTGGACACACTAAACAGAACACCTTATACTTCCATTAAACTTTCCTTAGTTGTGAACTCAAGATGACGCCACAGTTCCTCATCATTGGCTTTCAGTAACTCTGCCAAGTGGGAAAGTGTAGAAAGGATGCCCACAGAACTGTTATCTAATTGTTCACTGAAGTGATCCACTGAGTCACTCAGGAGTCGGACAAAACAAGCAAAACTGTCTGCTTCTGCATTACACTGCATAATGGAATTAAATTAATATATATTATTCCAATTACAACAAAGCTCGAGTCTCAATTATTTGCTTGAGTTTCAGAAACTGGCATGTTCATTTGCTGTAACTAAGATTCTTTTTCAGTCATAGGATTGATCTGCCTTAGCAAATAAACTTGAGGTCATATGAATTTTTTTTTCATAAGTGATCTTAAGTCAAGAAAGCAAGAATAAAGTATAATTCTTACTGCATTCTGCACACCTGTATCTGTGCTAAATACATGATATATTGGTGCCAAGACCTCATTCATGCCTTGGACATAACGAATGACTGGATTGAGTTTCGAAAATAGGAGGAGAATATCCTCATTGATTTCTGTAAACAGAAACATATTGTAGCACAGAGTGAAACCTCAAACCGCAAGTGGTGTTAATGTAGAGGATTGATCATCTAATTGTTAGTCCATAAATATCCTATAACTTGAAATTTGGTCTGCTAATAGATCGAAAATATTGTGGTGACAAGTAAATACACCATGGATATAGAAAGCAAAAAGGCATACCCTGTGTCTCCTGCTGAATGATGACTCTCCTGAGAAGAATTTCATTTCAGGATGTGTGCGTTGCAAATCACGGTCAATCTGTTCTGCAATTTCTATATGCTGGAATCCAATGCATCCATTATTGTAAACATTTGCAAACTTATATCATAAAAGGAGAAAAATAATAAATCAATGGTTGATGCCATATGAGCAGAGATTTACCTCGAAGTATTGATGCCAAACACTAGCCTTACCAAGGCTCAAAGGGTGATCTTCGTGAGAAATCTCGTGCCGTATAAGTGGTCAATCGGTACCACTATCAGCCTTGTTCTGCTCATTAGAGTGGAGTGCTTCTTCTTTAATCCTTGCAAGTTCTGACTAGATTTGATATTAAGATTAGTTCAATAAAACTTATAAAATACTACCTAAAGCCTAAAGTGCTCTTCCATTCAACATCTAAGATATTTTATGGTAAACTATATTAAAAAGAACCTCTTCACCAAGCAAATGCTGCATCACAATCAGTATCTTACAGGAGTTAGAAGAAGCTCTTCTTCCAGCTTAGCATATTTTTTGTCGATTCTTTATGAGCTCTTTTTTCCGTAAGTCCCGAGACAGAGGCAAGTAACCCAGGAGCAGCAAAGACAATAAATACGTGTACTGAATATTTGAATATTAAATTTGAACTAATCAAGCTCATTCCTTTTCCTGTGAAATGTTCAAATCTCAGTAAGTTGAAATTTTTTCCAAACAATTATGACTACGTACTGGTTTCCATTAACTTCAACACCAGCAATCAAATGAAGAAACTTTCCTTTTGTTGTTGAGATTTACCTTTCAAACCGTTGGACTCAAATTTCCACCATCAGGAAGCCCAGTGCTAACGATTCTTTGCAGTTTTCCCACATTTATCACCTTTTGAGAAATCTAAATTATATAAAAAAAAGGAAAAATAAGGATTAAGTCTATTAAAAGGATCCATAATTTGATGTTAAAAGAAAATGAAATAAAACAAAAAGATTAATACCAGTTAAATCTCTCACCTCATACTCAATATCAGACCTTTTCTCATCATCTTCAATAGTTTTCATGACCGAATTATGACCCGACCCGTCGTTTTGGTGTCTCGGCTAACGCCCGTGATGTTCTAATTCTTCATCCACTTCCAACTTCCTCTTCACCAATGCCTCTTCTTGAACTTCACCATCTTAATACCAGTTTCACGACCGGACCTGAATCCGTTTGGCTGAATAATCTTAAGCTCTTCACCCAAATCCAAAGCCGAACCGGATCCTTGGCTATCATCATCCTTGTCCTCGAAACCGGCGACTAAACTGCCGACTCCGAGTCGATCGGGATGCTTGAGCTTTTTTCCTTTGAGCATGGTGGTGCTGTCGTGGGTGAGTCGGGACCAGTCGGGGTGTGGTTTGGTTTCATGGAAAATTTTCTTTGAGAGGTTCTGGAGTAGGTTTCATGACTCGGAAAAGAATCGGGTCGCGATTGAGGTTTGCTACATGTAGAAGACTGATAGTCATGGTTTTCAGAATCGGACCGGTTAGCGAACCAATCATGTTATTGATTTATTGGTTCAACTGATTGAACCGGTCCGATCGGTTAGAAGAATCAGACGACGTCATAATTATTTAAAAAATTAAATAAAAATATTAAAAATATTTAATAAAAATAATTTTTTATATCACAAGTTATATTCAAAACAAGTCATAACATATATAAATTAAAAACCATAAAATCAAATGAAATAAAATGATTCAAATTAACTACAACATAATATATAATGTAAAACATATTAAATAATAAATATAATTATATAATTATAATTAAAAAATAAATTTGGGGCTAAAAAAATTATAATAAAATGATATTGTTTGGTTTAATTTTTTTTAAAAAACAATCTCACATGGCTAAGAAACATAGAAGAGCATCCAAAAAGTCTAAAGAGTAAAAATATGAGAACAAAACAATCCCACATTGCTAAGAAATATAGAAGAGCATCACAATTAACTTCTATAAATAATATAGATAATTTGACATTAAAAATCATGGAGCCTTTTGGTGAGCATTGAGCGAAGTATTCTTTCATTTCAATCAAGCTCGAATTTTAGGCTTCAATTGAGCTTCTAATTTTTTTTTTAGTTCAAGCCTTTTTGATTTCAAGTTTCAATATTATATTTCGAGTTCAAGTTGAATTTGATAATTTTTAATTTGTGAGTTTGAGTGGAGTTGAGCTTACTTTTAAAGTTTTCAAGTTCGAGTCGAGCTCAGCAATACTCGAGTTCGACTTGGCTCGTTTAACAAACGACGTTTGGTTTAATTTTTAAAAAAAACAAAACAAAATTTCCCATTTTTTTTGGTTTTCAGCCGGTCCGGTTCCAACGGTTCAGCGGTTCTGACCGATTCACTAGTAGCAATTCAACCGATTTAGATTAAACCGGACTAGACAAGAATCGGCCGGTTCGGTCCGGTCCGACTTTCAAAACAATGCTGGTAGTTATAAACGGTTTGAATGTTGGGTGGGTCCATTCCTGATTTGCACCAGTTAGGGGTGGAAATAAACGATTTGAATTGTTTAGTGTAATGTTTTTTCATATTTGTGTATTTTTTCAATAAAAACAACTATTTTTATTAATAAGGAAAAAATATTTAAAACTACGATAAAAATATATAACTAAATTCGTAAACTAAATTATGGGTGGCAACGGGTTGGGCGGGGACGATTTTACATTATCCATTTCGTCCCCAACACTTGCGGGTACTGTTTTGGGGAATCTCCATTATATGTTTCAGGGATTTTCCCCCCCTATACCCATCTCATACGGGTCCATACGAGTTTCGGTTAATCCACATCCCATAAAAGTCAATAAACATTTTTTAAACCAATGTAACACTTAAAACTTGCAAGATATATCATATTGTCTCAAATTGGTCTCTATCTATAATACGAAAATTTCACACGTCAATATTCATCTAACACACAATGTATATGTGCAATCCTAACCATTTTCAATCATAAATAACATATTACAAAAGTTTAATAATTTATTTTTAAAATTCTAAATTAAAATATCATAAATATTTTAAAAAGAAAAAATATAGATAATGATGATTGAAAGATATTGGAGATAAATAGCAGGCCGTAAATGGATCTTAAGTAGGGGAAAACAAAATTGATTCGACTTGAAAAGTTGATTTCTTTTTAATTTTGAGTTATTTGAGTTGAGTTATTCAAATCAGCTCAAATTATAAACTCGGTTTTCGATTTTGAGTCAATTTGAAATTTTGAAATTTAAAAACTGAAAATTTAACTAAGTATTTTGATAGTTTTACGATTTAATCATTGATTTCATTATTCATTCAATTTCTCTTTACCAAATTTGAACCACATGCTCCTAAACCATTGCATAATACATATGTACTTTATCTTTTTGATAAATGTTTTTATCTTTCAATTTAGTCCCTCAACTTTTCATAATTTCCTTATTTCTTCAATTTTTATAATATACTTTAAGTTTGTTTTTACAAATTTAAACTCCATGTTCATATACCACAATAGATTACACATGTAAATTCAATTCTTACTTCTTCTTTTACTGAAGATGCACTCTCTTTTTTATTTAGTCTCTTAACTTTGCATGTTACTCAATTTGATCTTTTGAGTACAATTGTTTACAAATTCTTTCTTCACATTAATTTCTTAACTCTTTTATAGTCTCATTAATATTTTACCCTCAAATACTTTCTTTAAAATATAATATATTACGAATATATTTTATAGTTTTAGATTGTATTTGATAGGCAAAAGGATATGAGAGACCTTCGTCCTTTTCGAAAAAACCAATGCGACCCTTGTCATTTTTTGCACCCAATGTGATCCTCAAACTTAAAAACAGACCCAATATGACCCTTTGACTAACATTTTTTTTTCGTTGACCGTTAAGGTGCTAACATGGTAATCCACAATGGCGAGTGACATTGCTGATAATGTGGCAAATGGACAAAGTTGATTTTTCTGGTCAAGTTCGAGGGCCAAATTGTTTTTTTCTAAAATTTCATGGGCTTATTTGATTTTTTATAAAAAAATGTATAATTTTAAAATAAAAATGTTTAAAAAATTAAATATAAATTAAATTATTAAAAATTAAAATTTATATCATTATTTATATAAACTTGAACTCATCCATCCTATACAAATTTTATTTTATATATTTACCTCTAATTATCTTAAACTGTAAATGTATTTTTAATTCGATTTTACTAAATTTTTATAAATTTAATTAAATAAATATTATAAAGTCTTATAAAAATTAAAAAAAAATTAAAATTATAGAAGTAAAATTTATGTATAAATTATCATAAAATATATAATTAAAAAATATTAGAAAAATAATTATATAATTAAGAGCATTTTAGTGAATATAACATGATGAGGGCCTCAAATGCACTTTTGTTTTTTTTTTAATTTTTCAAGGA